GGTCGGTCGGTCGGTTGGTTGGTTGGTTGGTTGGTTGTTGGTTTGCTTGTGTGACTGTTCCCCAGTGCAGTCGGGCACACATGCGTTTTCCTGGGTGGCACCATCATGCATGTAGGCATATCGAATTTAAACCCTAAGCCCTAAACCCTAAACCTCATGCTCTTATTCCGATCCGGAATCCGAAAACCCTCACACCCCAAGCCCGGAACTACCGGAGTGAAACCGTCATAGACCCTTGAAACAAAGCCCCGACGAACATTTTTAAGCACGTATCTGAAGTCCAAGCGCTCCTAAACCTGAACCCGAAACCCTAAACCTAAAATTGCCCTAAACCCCAACCCTAAACCCTTAAACCCCAAACCCCAACCCCTGAAGCCTTAAACCCTAAACCCCAACCCTAAACCCTAAACCCTAAACCCTGAACCCTAACCCTAAATCCTAGACCCTAGCCCCTTTTTGAAAAAAAGGTGTGCCGCGTGGCTCGGATGGAGCTACGCCTGGGCTTTCCCGCCACAGGCCGAGCGGCAGATCTAAGGTTTCAGGGGCTGTAGGCTTTCGGATTCAGGGTTTTAGGATTTAGGGTTTAGGGTTTAGGGTTTAGGGTTTAGGGTTTAGGGTTAGGGTCTAGGGACTGGGGAGTTGTCTTAGGGTTTAGGGACTAGGGAGTTGTCTTCTTAGGGTTTAGGGAGTAGGGTTTAGGGAGTTGTCTTTAAGGATTAGGGTTTAGGGCTTGAGGGATTTAGGGATTAGGGTTTAGGGAGTAGGGAGTTGTCTTTAGGGTTTCGGGTTTAGGGATTAGGGTTTAGGGAGTTGTCTTTAGGGATTAGGGTTTAGGGCTTAAGGGATTTAGGGATTAGGGTTTAGGGAGTAGGGTTTAGGGTTTAATGAGGTTGTAGGCTTTGGGGTTTAGGGTTTGGGGTTTAGGTGTGTTGTAGGCTTTAGGGATTAGGGTTCAGGGTTTCGTGTTTAGGGCTTAGGTGTGTTATAGGCTTTGGAAAGTAAATAAGGTTTACGGTTTAGGGTTTAGGAGTGTTGTAGGCTTCATAAGGTTAGAGTTTAGGCTTTAAGGAGTTGGGCTTAGGGTTTGGGGTTTAGGTGTGTTGTAGGCTTTAGGGATTAAGGTTCGGAGTTTAGGGTTTAGGTGGGTTGCAGTCTTTAGGGATTAGGGTTCCTATTGGAAGTTTGAAGGGTTTAGTAGGGTTCCCGAAGTCCGACACCTTCATCTACCAGGATGTCTAGTTTAGGATTCAAGTTGTGAGTCTTGAGGGTTTAGGATTCAAGTTGTGAGTTTTGAGGGTTTAGGGTTTAGGGTTTTCTCCGGAAACGTCAACTGCCATAGCCCCTGTTTTTTGGCAGGGTCTTCTTGTCAGCCCCACAATGCAACTTTTTGCCGGAAGAGCTTGCTTTTTGTTGCTTGGAGGTTTTGAGTTTGAGCTTTCGGTTCCAGATTTGGGGTGTTCGGCCTCAGGAGACCTGGGCTATCATTGGTTGTTTGCGGTCTTCACATTCAGGTAAACGGCCTTCGTTGCTTTTTTTGAGGTCTGCGATTTAGGGATCTCAAAGCTTGTTGACTTCTTCCTGGCCAGTGTGCTCTTGGACAACAGGAAAGCCCCAAACCCTAAACCGGGCGATGTGAGATCGGGTTGTCTCAAGCAACAAGGGACTGCATTGCGAAAGCCTGTGACTGCTACTACCTAACCTTTTGCGGTACTACAATCCCTATATAATCCTGATATACGCCCAAAGGGTAACCGGTAGTTCCCCGGGATACTGGACAAGTAGGACTACGACGACGGCTCGCTCGCTCCTGCTTCATTCATGACAAGACTCGGCGATGTCTAGCAGTACTTGCTGTCCTCTGCTACTGCTGCGTCTCGTTTAGGTATTCCCTAAATCCCTCAGTTCCAGCCCCGGCCACAGCCTTTGTTAATTTTTTAAACCTTATTGGATCCTAGACGCTCGCAAGCAAACCAAAGCACCAAAAATAGAACAAGCACCCACGAAGAGACACCCTAGACCCCGAAGCCTTAATTCCCCAGAGCCTGAAAGCCACTCTTTTAAACTTTGAAATCCTGAAGTGCTGCAGGGTTTAAAGGTTTAGGGTTTAGGGTTTTCAAGCCGCCCAGGACAGCCCTGTGCCACAGGAGGTTCCCAGCCTGCCTGCCTCGAGAGACGCTGGCGGGAGTGGCTTGCCGCTGCTCGTGTCTGGGCTTTCGTTGCAGAGTTCACGGTCGTGGGTTTGCCTCAGTCTTTGCCTTGGATCTGTGGTGGACTTTTGTGGTTTAAGGTGTTAGAGTGTCCGGGGACTGACGGAGCAGACCGCTGCACCCGTCCGCAGTGGACAGGTGTTTGAGTCCGGGAGAGTAGGGGCCTTAATAGGTAGAATGGGTTTTGGTGTATATATTACCCTATTATTCATAATAAGGACCCCCCAAAAAAAACAAATTAGTAGTTCTGCAGACTTTAGGGTTTAGTTACAGGGTTCCTTTAAGGGCACTAGAGGGTTTCGGGTTTAGTAGTTTAGGTCCCGGGTTCGGCTTTTGGGTCCAGGGTTTAGGGGTTCAAGGGTTGGGGGTGCTTTGGAACATTTGGGGGTTCAGGGTCGTTGAGGGTCTAGGGGCTTAGGGTTTGGGGGTGTAGGTTTTAGGGTTCAGGTCCGTGAATAGCAGGACCAACTGCAAGACGGATCAACAAAAAAATCGATTCGTTGCATGTCGGCACGTGCAGCCACATCTTGTTCTCCATACTTGCCACTGTTTCTCTTCGTTTCTCTGCTTGGGAAACTTTTCCATCTGGCACATCCCCCTCTGCTCTGGCAGCCTGTCGCCCCTGAATACCCCAAGTAGACACCGTCATTTGGGTTCTTGGACTCGTCTGGCTCCTTCGTTGTAGGTTCGGAAGTACAGAAACGGTGAACACACAAGTCGCAGTGTATGAACATGGGTGGCACAGGCACGCACACGTCAGTCAAAGAGACATTACAGGATACGGATATGACGACAAAACACCTAGACCACGACTTACAGACAAGTCTAGAATCTAGAAAACAAGCACTGCGCTCTTCCTCTCGCACACAGAGGCCTACAATGGCAACATGCAAACATCGCAGGATGGTCACAAGGCGAGCACGCATACACGGAGACAGAGAGCCACAGAGATACAGCGGCAGCCATGCCCACGCAGATGCAACATCCCCTAGCCTACACGGGTGTGTCCGCACTACAGAAAGTGCAATTGCATGCATACTTCGTGCACGCACACATGTGTACACAGATGAGCATAAGGCGTACATGTTTCCATCTAAAGTTAAACTACCTGTAAGTTCCTCGTCATCACACCAACGTTTTCTAATGCCGGAGCTTGGAACAGAAGCAATGAAGTATATGATATGTGTTTCATGCCGTCAGATATGTGCAAGTAGACAGAGAGTCAATTTTGCCAACATACATATTATTCATATGTATGTACAGAGAGCGAGACGGGGAGAGAGAGAGAGAGAGTTAGAGCCCGTTCAGTGCTCGTTCTTTCTCCCCTACCAAGCCCTTAAACAGGGGCGCGCCTTTCGGCGCAGGGAGCCTGACCCGCTCCTGGAAACCCGGAGTGAAGTAAAGTGAAGTGAAGTTTAGAGCCCGAGCAGCGGTAACCCCGCACGCAGGCATGCAAAGCGTTGCCACAGCATCGCAGAACTAACAGGGACGCAACACAACTCACCATATCTTGTCCGAGGGTTTCAAATACACATGCACTCAACATGCATTATATTCAGTGGCTTTGACTGTAAAGCATTCTGTAGCCTCAAGGTTTTGGCTCTAATACAGTGGTTTCAAGACTTGCAAATCGCTTTGAGTTCCTCAGGCGCAGACTACCCACGAGCCTCGCGTGGTCTGGCAGAGATCGCTGCCGATGATGCTGCATCAGCCGCTGCGAAGTTGGCATCCCATGCAGGCACGATTCTGATGTACTTCGAAAGATGCAGAATTCAGAAAATGCAGCCACCAGAAGGAAGCAGCCTTCCCGCCTTCAAATCTGAAAGCTAGAACCCCCTAGCCTGCTGAAGTTACAACAATTTTCATTCCCTAAACCTCTGGTGAGTGTAATTGGGATACCTGTTAGACGTCCTTAGTTAATGACTTACTAAGTCCCATGATCCTCCAATAAGCAGGGATCCACCACTTGCAAACGATGACCCTAGAGTCCTAGAGTCTCAAGCAGTGCCCAGATATAGGGTTTAGGGTTTAGGGTTTAGGGAGATATCTCACAATTTCCGATCTTATAGTGTATGAAACTGTATGAAAGTAATTCTGAGAGTATATTTTTGTGTGAGACATAGCCACATGTTATTACTTACTATATCACCTCACATGATATTCGGAAGCTCGTCTGCTAGCCGAAGCCCTGCGACTGCACTCCGCACCATGGAACAGGAGGTGCAACAACAGCCACTAGTGTTGTAGGTTCCCCAATAGTACCCTTTTGCCCTTTTTTGGGTTCCCCTTATAAAACCTCATAGTGGAACAAAAAGGGTACCCAAGTTTTTAAGGGGCTACTGGGGAATCTAGACGATTACACCGGCACCACCACCCACATGCATCTCACGCGACTACGGCGATGATGAAGACTGCGCCGGACGGATGAAATATCGCACAGTCCTTGGGAGCGTACAGTCCCCTTATCAACCCTAGCTGGAGGTTCATGGGTAGTTTTAAATTTGATGGGGTTAAAAGTAGGGTGACTAGATCCACAATCCATATAAGGGAACATATACTGTAACCCCACTTATCACAACCCTAAACCCTAAACCGAGGGAGAAACCTCTAAACCTTATAGAGCCTTTAAACGGACCGAACCTCCAAGTGAACCGAAAACCAACTTACAACCCCACTTATAACTACCCGTAAACCCTAAACCCTAAGCCCCTATAGATCCCTTATAGAACCCTCATAGATCCCTTTAGTGAACCCCTAAACCCTGAACCCTAAACCCTAAACCCTAAACCCTAAACCCTAAACCCTAAACCCTACACCGAGTTTCCTCGCCTGAGGCGCTGCAGAGAGAGACTTGGAGACGCTCCAAGCGCTCATCGGAGATCTTCGTGCGCTCCATGGGGCTTCTTGGGCTTTAGGGTTTAGGGTT